TTTCTGAATGTGACTTTGATGAAGCCTCTGAAGTGGTTCAGAAAATTAGATCATCACAAGGTCACACGTTCACTAGGTCAAAAAGTTAGCGCTTTTCCTAGTTCCCATTATGTAACAGTAATATATAGCAAACAACTTTTTGGACAAAGCAATTGTACTCTGAGGGAATTTATCTCATAAAAATAAAGTAATAAACAACATTCAGGATGAACCATTTCTATTTGAAACTGTATATGTATATAAACAATATGCATAGAAAGTAAAAATATATCCATCAAAACATTAATTATGACTCAGTATGGTAGATCAATGGAGTGCTTTATAGTTCTCCCACCCTTTTTGTCTATGGATGCTTTCTAATTTTGCAATAGTAAATATGTATTATTTCTGCAATATATAATAAAATTAAAAATAAAAATAAAATGTTAACACAAATTAAGCTGGATATATTCCTTCAGTCTGTCTCATATTTGTATAGTGCTTCAGACTGCTTAAATACCACCTCATTTGAGAAATCTTTCCCCAGCACTCCATAGATTACTAACTACTCCTTTCTCCACGTTTAGATAGCAATTTTTTTTTTTTTTTTTTGACAGAGTCTCGCTTTGTTGCCCAGGCTAGAGTGAGTGCATGGCGTCAGCCTAGCTCACAGCAACCTCAAACTCCTGGGCTCAAGCGATCCTCCTGCCTCAGCCTCCCGAGTAGCTGGGACTACAGGCATGCGCCAACCATGCCTGGCTAATTTTTTCTATATATATTAGTTGGCCAATTAATTTCTTTCTATTTATAGTAGAGACAGGGTCTCGCTCTTGCTCAGGCTGGTTTTGAACTCCTGACCTGGAGCAATTTGTCCGCCTCGGCCTCCCAGAGTGCTAGGATTACAGGCGTGAGCCACCGCGCCCGGCCTAGATAGCATTTTATTCATCTCTATCACCTCACTTCTCACATGATAAATCAGTTGTTCATACATCTGTCTCCCTTGCTTGCTTGTGAGCTCCCTGATAATAAGTTTGATTATATTTTCAGCACCTTGAACAGTGTGAAACACATAAAAGCTTCATATGTAGTGAATTAAATGATTTCGTTATGATATAATATTAATAGTTGCCAGAACGCAATACCTGTATTTCTAAATGTTAGAGGTACCCTGCCAGTAACCTGAGAATGTTACACTTTCTCCTTAAAACTTGAATCAATTACTGAGTAGCTGTGGTTATAGTTAACTCAGTTATGACAAGCACTCTGGCCAAGGCCATTCATAGTTTTTTCCTTGGGTTATTTTTGATTGTTTGCTTTTTAATCTGGAGTGTTCAGTAAACTTCACCATCTCTTTGTATCTCTGTGCCTTTGCACCTGGTGGTCTCTGCTTGGAAAGCTGTCTCAAAGTTTCATTCAGCTGGAAAACATTCCTACTCACCCTTTAAGAATCAGCTTAAATAACACCTTCTCTGGGAAGCCATCGTATCCCCCCATCCTTTCAGGAAAAATTGGGAATCCCTCACTTCAGACATTTGTGCATCTATTGGTATGTATTAGACATTAAACTAAGTGTCTAAGACAGAAAGATGAAGCTGTGGACTCTGTCCTCACAAAGCTCATGATCTAGTAAGGAAGACGGCTATATGCACAAATAACCACATTCTAATAATACTAAATGCAACACCAAAAGAAAGATGTATTGAATATTGGATGTGTCAATTACTTTGTTAGCAGATTTATTAAATAGTATCTATTATAATGTTAGGTAGGTATGTGAATTGGACAGAAGGCAATGAAACTGCAGTACCCTCAGTTATCATATGAAAAAACTGTCTCCAAGGGGTTCTTTTCATATATGCCACTCTGTGTGAAGCTGATGCATAAAACCAACCCTACTTCTTTGGTCACAAGTGACTGGACCAGGGCTTAGTGCCTCAGCTAAGGACAACATACAGGTTGAACCTGAGGGAAATCAATCACCAAGGACATGCTTGGCTGAGAATTATGCCCAATAGGGGCTCTCCATTTTAGAAGGCAACAGACCAATTCAATCAGATATTCTCTCTTGGGAAATACAAATGTTGGGTGAACAAAGTAAAAGAAGGTAGGTCTCCAGAGTTCAAATCCTATCCTAAATACTGCTAAAGTATTGTTTTATGAGGTTTTGAAAGCAGTAGGGCCAAGATATAATATGGCTGCTGAATGATTCAAGTTTACATTCAACCCTCATCACCGAAGGTAATATGTATGTGCCTCTTTCTTTCAACCCACAGGGCCTAACACATCATATCACAACTTCTGAATTAGGAAACAGGCTCAAAAGTCCAAGACTTTGACCAAAGTCACTTAGTTGGCATGTGGCAGAGCCAGAATTCAAAGACCACATCAGCATAATTCTTCTATAATATCCTGCCAGTTACATGGGAAAGTGGCATTAAAATCAACAATGACAAGTAGAGGTTGATACAGGTCAATGGAGAGAGGCTCAGAGGAAGAGTTTATGCACAAGAGTAGAATAGAAATGTTCTGGAAGTATGCCTGGGAATATGAAATTGGAGGGAGCACACAAGATTTCATGTTGGTCAAATTAATCTATAATTCCAACCTGGAACTCTCCAACAAGCTCTAGACTTAGCTATCCATCTTTGTTACTTGAACATAAGATCTATAGGGCAGGACCTTAATCTTTAGTTTATTCACCACAGACTAAAGCAGAGTCTGGTTTATAGTAAATGCTTAACAAATATTTGGTGAATGAATGAACAAGTGAACAAATTATCAAAGGAACATTCTACAGAGGATTGGGGGCAGTTATTACCATGAAACATACTCTAGGAGTCACTTACAAATACAGTTGATTCCCATTATTTGTGGATCCCATTATTTGCAAATTTGCTTACTCACTAAAATTTATTTATAACCCCAAAGTCAACACTATAGAGCTTTCAAGCTCATTCATGGACATGCACGCAGTGATGAAAAATTTGTCGCTTCTTGCAAAATTCCCAAGCTAAGGTCCAGTAAGGTGGTCCTTGGCCTTGCTTCAGCTCTCCTACAGAGATGACCAGAGGACACAGACAGTAGGGGGCAGTGCAGTGTAGTGCAAGAAGCTCTGGCTCTGGGGCCAACTGGACAAGGTTTAAATTTTAACTCTGGCACCTGTTAGTGGGGCAGCCTCAGGCAAGTCACTTAGCACTTGTGTACTTCATTTACTCCTTTGTAAATAAAGAAAATAACAATCTACAGGGTGAGCTGTTTTTAGGATTTAAGATTATAATCTATGCGAGGTATATATACATATACATATCTTCCCTAGGAACAATGGTTTAGCATTTGACAATTCAGTGTTCCAGGTGACTTTATAGAGCATAACTACTTCAAATAATGAAAACTGACTGTAATTATTTATAAAGAAATAGAAAAAATAACTATTTTGATGTAGTCGAGTCGGCCTCAAGAAGATTTTGAAGCAATTGAACTTCACCAGGCACAAAAGGTATAGAAAGTCTTTCAAAGAGAGACAACAGCACATACAGATAGAGGCCCAGGTGTGTGGAAAAAAACAGGTAGGTTCAGGAAATGTTACTTCAGGAAGTCTAGACAGTAGAAGATGAGGCCAGAATATGGGGCCACAGTGCTTCTTTATACTTTGTATACACCCTGTACTGTAGAACCTCTCTCTCTGAGTTTAATTCTTGGTTTATAGTTCTCTCTTCCTTTAAATTGTGAGCTCCTCATGGTCAAGGTTTCTAGGAAGAAATTATACTTATAGTCCTCTAAATTTATAAACATGTAAATACTAAGCACAAACACACTTGAAAAGACTATAAAAATAACTGGTATAGTGACCAACTCACAGATTTGCAATTTGTACAGGACTTTTCTTTGGTGACTGCTATAACTCTGTCATAAATTTTTTTCATTGTTCTAGACACCTGGGTAGTTGCTAGAACAGTTTTAAGATCTTGCTCTTTTTAGTGTGATTTATTAACAAGGCTCAAACATATGGTCCATTAGACAATGCTGCCACCTCAGAGTAAAGATTCCTTTTAATTTTACTCTAATATACTCATTTCTTTATATACAAGATACGACTTCACCATAATAAAATACAGGGAAGCATATTGATAAATATGTTACATATAGAGTGAAGAAAACAATAAGATTTTTTCACAAAAGCTTGCAAAATCTTAGCCAAGACACAGCGAACATGTTAAACTCACAGCTTACATTTCTCCACTAAGAACTAGGAAAAACAATTCCAGTGTATGTAAAGTCACAAAACTAAGACTGTAAGAATTTACAAGATTTTGTACACGTGTATATCTCCCTCCCTGATATGCACATAGCCTAAGGAGTCTATCAGTCTTATCCCAATACTTCAATTTCCTTCAACCTCCAAAATAAAACCTTTAATATCCAATATCTAAATTAATATTTTCAAACCTCCAAAATCTCAATCCAAACTAAAAGTGGTGAGTTACCTTTTCGGCATAACATTCGTGGCATAGTTTTATTTAGGCACGACATAGTCTGCACTATTACCTAGAAGCATATGGCTAGAACCAACCACTACTGGAAAACAAACAGATATACTATGAAGGTGAATACAAACTCTCTGTGAAAAGGGAATAGGGAATGTTGCTTTTAAAAAGATTCAATGCTGTTATTATCCATTCGTAGTTTGGGTGTGATCAAATCTCGTCTGTGTTGCACAGCTAAAGTATGTCCTACATTTTATGACTAACTAGGATGGCCAGGCTCTTATACTGCAAACTCTCAGCAAGCCCAGTTAAGCTGTTTAAAGTATAATCCAATTCCATCTAGTTAATAATAATAATAATAATAAATTTTAAATTCCTTGCTGTCAGTTAACCCTTTTCAATAACATTTTTCAGCAATTATCGCAAAAAGAACAAAGATTCTGGGACAAAAATTCTACAGAGGTTGTAATGATTAAATGCCATCTTAAGGAAGGCAAAAATAGTTTACCATTAACAAAACCGATTGAAGTTCCCAACCTTGCAAAGCTCCCTGTTCAGTGTATTCTGCCGCTCTCCCGTTCACCTTCCAGCTGCCTAGAACAGGCAAGTGGAAAATGTTAGTTTCCAAGAGAAAAAATAAGGATGCAATTTAGGGGATGTTAGGGGGTGAAGGACTCACTCGTGGAAAGCAAGGCAGACGAGAAGTGGCCAAGGTCTCCAAGTCAAATTAGGTATGAAGAATGAGGGCTGGAGTAAAGGGGGAGATGGGAAGCAGATGACGCGCGGAGACCTGCGAGTGGGGGAGGGGCAAAACCCGCAACTCCTCCCCCCTCCTGTTCGGGGGGATGGGGCGGAGGGATGCAGCACAGGTCAATTTGCCTAGCAAGATTGCACCGGAGGAGTAAAGGGACTCACAAGCCGGAGAATCTGGTGTGAGTGTTAAAAGGAGGCTGAGGAGACTCAGGAACTTGGGGTGGGGCGGGGAGCAGAGCACCTGTGCTGGGTGGAAAAGGGACTAAGACCTCCTAGCACCCTGAGGGGCAGGGGTGACCCCTGAGGACGCCCCTTGTCGCTGATAACCGCGACGTGGGGCTCCGCGGGCTTTCCCTCCCCACAGGTGAGCTCGGGCAGGCGCGCGCCGCCCCTCACAGCCCCGACGGCGGCGGAAAGAGAGGCGCAGGGCGCCCCCAGAGCCGGGAGAGCGGCGTTTCTCGCGGGTCCTTTCCCCCGCAGCCCGGACGCCGGAGCCCACCTGGGCTGACCAGAAGCCCCTCCTCCAGGCCGTGCTCTGCCACTCCTCCGAAAGTCTAAGCCGTCGCTGCAGAGGTCGCCGTTGCCAGGACAGTCTCGGCCTCTAGTACCAAAACGTGAGCCACAGCACAGAAGCGCCACTACCACTCGTTAGGTTACCTCTTACTGCACACTGCCTCCTGACCCCGCCTCCGAACACAAGCCATTGGTTGCTGGGCACCGCCCCATTCGTCTATTGGGCCTAAGAAGATGCCGCTCAGTCACCTAGAAGCGCATATCTGCTTTTTATTGGTCTAAATGTGAAGCAGTGCCTGCCCACTCCCTCAGAAGTCCTAGCTTCTGATTGGTTTTAACGTCTGTCTTTTTGCTTCCTTCGTTCTTTCTCTCGGTGGGGGAGGTGTGGAACGCCTCCTTGCGGAAGACATCGGGCCTGATTGGTTGAAAGGACGCTACGCTTGTTCTGGATAGGTATTGGGCGAAGGATCGTCCGGCCCCGTGGGGGAAGAGCCCAAGGCACAGCACCTCGGGGTTTGTTTACAGAGGCTCTCGCTCCCGCTTCATCCATTGGCTGAACTGGAAGCCACTCCCACCGAGTTTTGCCAGTCAGTCTCACCGGGAGCAGGATGGGGAGGGGCCTCAGTGGGATTTCCCCAGCTGTCAGTTACCGAGGAGCGAAGATATTTGAGAAGGGCTGGCTTGGTTCTGTACCTATAGCTCTATCGCGGAAAATTCAGGAGGTGGGTTCCTTCGGAGGCTGGAAGGAAGCAGAGAGACACTTCCATATTTCTAGAAACAAACCTAATTTCCTGATTCCTTAAAAACCTTATTTTTCCCCTTGGATTTAGGATGTCCAATTTTTGCTTGCAAAAGACTTTGTATTTTATTCTTCAGGAAGTTTTTTTTTTCCTTTATGGAGCACTTACTTTATAAATCTTTTTTTCTCCCCACCTCTCATGCTGACTATATACATGACACAAAGTAGAGGCTTTGTAAAGATGGTAAAGATGAAGAGGAGAATTAAATTCAGATTAAATATAACAAATAAAATATTAAATATATACTTAATATATTAAATAATATAATAATTAAGTAAATACATAAATAATTAAATACATTCATTAAACAAATATTATTGAGAATCTGCTATGATATCCAGGCTCTGATCCAGGCACTGGATAATCTGATACAAATGAGACAATTGAAGATGCACCCATGGCTCTTATTCTCTAGTATGGGGAGACTGACAACAAACAAGAAACCAAAAAAATAATAAAATGGCATGTTGTGACTAAGTGCCACAAAGAAAAATAAAGCAGAGTTACAGAATTGTTGGAGCATGGCTATGTTAAAAAGAACAGTTAGTTGAAGAGCTGTTTGAGGAAAGCACATTGAATAGAGATGTGAATAATGTGAAAAAGTAATGAATGGGAAGGGGGTTGATAAGCAGAGTCACTACATTGCACAACTCCAGGATCACTATTAACATTGCTTCAAGTATTTTTAAGTTGTGCTATTAGGTATACATCCATTTAGGATTTCCTACTCTGGTTTAAAGTTTTATTTGGTTAAATAATTTAAATGAGAAACACATATCTCTTTTAGACAAAGAGAAAAATCTGTCTCTAAGACAGCATCTCCATACCTTTCACTGCTCTTTCCCTAAGGTGGCCTTCAGATGTATGATGAGAGAGGGCTTACACAATCTCATAGTTTTGAAAAACAGGCTCTGCAGGTCCACATAGTGTCCTTGCATAATCAGAAATACTCTTTGAGGATGAAAATGTATTGCCAGGATAACAATGGGATATAAGAAAAAGCTGGTGGACTCCTCTTGTCTCACTTCCTACAACTGGCACCATCTATTATAAATTCATGACTGGTTATTACCAGTGATAAAGAGAAAACCTTAAAAGCAGAGAAAAAAATTATTATATACAGGAGAAAAACAAGAATTACAGCAGATTTCTTATCAGAAACTATGGAAGCCAACAGATGATGAAGGAATGAGGTAGCCATGTGGATATCTGCTGGTGGTGTGCATGGACAGATAAGAGACAAGAACCAGGCCAAGTGCGGTGGCTCACGCCTGTAATCCTAGCACTCTGAGAGGACCAGGTGGGAGGATTGCTCAAGGTCAGGAGTTTGAAACCAGCCTGAGGAAGACCCTGCCTCTACTAAAAATAGAAAGAAATTAATTGGCCAACTAAAAATATATAGAAGAAATTAGCTGGGCATGGTGGTGCATGCCTGTAGTCCCAGCTACTTGGGAGGCTGAGACAGAAGGATCGCTTGAGCCCAGGAGTTTGAAGTTGCTGTGAGCTAGGCTGATGCTATGGCACTCTAGCCCAGGCAACAGAGTTGCAAAAAAAAAAAAAAAAAAAAAAAAAAAAAGAGACAAGAACCAGATTTAAAGTTATAGGGGGTGGTGTCGATGAGAAGGAGGGAGAAAAGAAGAGCCCACCACTGTTCACCACATCCAATTGCTATCCTGGCAATAAATCTTCATCCTTGAAGAATACTATTCTTGTTTGTTTGTTTTGAGACAGAGTCTCACTCTGTTGCCCAGGCTAGAGTGCCATAGCATCAGCCTAACTCACAGCAACCTCAAACTCCTGGGCTCGAGAGATCCTACTGCCTCAGCCTCCCAAGCAGCTGGGACTACAGGCATGCGCCACCATGCCCGGCTAATTTTTTCTATATATTTTTAGCTGGCCAATTAATTTCTTTATATTTTTAGTAGAGATGGGTCTCACTCTTGCTTAGGCTGGTCTCAAACTCCTGACCTCAAGCGATCCTCCTGCCTCGGCCTCCCAGAGTGCTAGGATTATAGGCGTAAACCACCATGCCCGGCCCATCCTAACTATTTTAAAGTGCACAGTTCAGTGACATTAAGTACATTCACATTGTTGTACAATCATCACCACAATTCATCTCAAGAATGTTTGCATTATTTCCAACAGAAATTTAGTACCTATTAAACACTAACTCCCCATTCTCCCCTTCCCTCAGCCCTTGGCAATCACCATTCTACTCTCTGTGCCTATGAATTTGACTACTCTAGGTACCTCATATGAGTGGAATCATATAGTATTTGTGCTTTTATATTTGGTTTATTTCACTAAACTTAAAGTCTCCAACTTCATGTATCAGAATTTCATTCCTTTTTAAAGCTGAATAATATTTTGTTGTATGTATGTAACACATTTTGTTTATCAGTTCATCCATTGATGGACATTTGGGTTGTTTCTACTTTTTGCCTATTGTGGATAATGTTGCTATGAACATTGGTGTACAAATATCTGTGTAAGTCTCTACTTTCAATCATTTTGAGTATATATCCAGAAGTGAAATTGCTAGATCATATGGTAATTCTATATTTAAGTTTTTGAGGAACCACCATAATGTTTTTCACAGTGGTTATACCATTTTATGTTTCCATCAACAGTGTAAAAGGGTTCCAATTTCTCTTCATCCTTGCCAACACTTGTTATTTTCTAGTTGTTTTTTTTATAATAGCAATCCTAGTAAGTGTGAAGAATGTATCTCATTATGGTTTTGGTTTGCATTTACCTAATGATTAGTTATGTTGAGCATCTTTTCTTGTGCTTATTGGCCATTTGTACATTTGTTTTAGAGAAATATCTATTCAAGTCCTTTGCCCATTTTTGAATTAGATTGTTTCATTTTTGAGTTGTAGGAGGTATTTTTTATTATATTCTAAATATTAATCTTTTAAGGGGAAAGGGGGGCATGGGTAATGTAAGTAACCTTAACACTTGTACCCCCATAATATGCTAAAAAAAAGACAAAAAAATAAATATTAATCTTTTATCAGATATATGGTTTGCAAATATTTTCTTCTGTGGACTGTCTTTTCTCTCTGTTGAGAGTGTCCTTTAATGCTTGAGTATTTCTGATTGTACAAGGATACTGTGTGGCCCTGAAGAGCCTGTTTTTCAAAACTATGGATCATGCAAGCCCCTCTCTCACCACATTCCTGAAGGTCACCTTAGGGAAAGAAGCAGTGCATGGTATGGGGAGGCCATTGTAGAGACAGATAATTTTTTTCTAAAAGAGCTAAACATTTCTTGTAGGATTCATTTTCTTTAACCAGACAAAGCTTTAAACCAGAATGGGTATCTAGTTGAGGTTTTTTTTTTTTTTTTTTTTTTGTCTCCCCTCACAACCCAGGAATATTCCTAGGAGAAAATGAGATCAGGTGGAGAGATAAGGCAAAGAAATCGGAGAACACACCAACAGCCATCCAAGAGCCCCTCTGGACATCTGCAGGTGCCCCAAGGGGAATGTAAAGAATCTGTGGCTCAGCACTGAATTCCAAGGGA